CGAGGCTGCCACTCTTCGCCCGTCTAAACTTATTCGTGCGACAGCACCTTTCCCAGTTAGACCCCCGCACAAATATTGCAAACAAGTGATGCAATTTTCGCACATTGTCTTGGGAACAGTACAGCACTTGCATCACATACCGTAGCTTAGACAAAAAAAAACCCATTGCATGCAGCAGTCCTAGCAAACATGAACAGATAAGTTGCATTCCACCTATTAGCTTTCTCTTTAATTTCTTTTGTTTGTTGTGTCCAATATTTGTCAGCACTTTTGTATGACTTGAGTGGAACTCCGAGATATTTACCTGGCGCATTCGTCCATTTAATGGCTGCTTGCGAGCACATTGGAAATAAATTTATCAGCTTGGAAATGCAATGAAAGTGACTTTCGTGCTTTAGAAACTCACGTGTCTGGTATTTATGCTTCACAATACAACATGAAATATTGCCCTCATAATGCGTGGTACAAGCGTATATTGCCAGTAGGCATCCGAACATGTGGTTATCATACTAGATTTCATGGTTTAATGCTGGTCACTCACTACACAAGACAGGCACGTTACTGCGCCCATTACTTTAAGGCCACGTAGCGGGGGTACAGCAAGTTCGAAAAAATTTTACTTACTAAGTGTTTCAAGTACGCACTAGGGACAGGATATTATTATCACGTTAAACTATTAAAGGGGAACTTAAGGATCCCCCAATGTTTTTTATCTGTATGCACCAATCTTAATTTTAAATGGTTGCATCTCTACCAGCTTCACTAAATGTTTCTAGTACTTCTTTGTTCTTCGCACCATAAAAAACTCAAAGCCATTTCAGGAACAATGTCAAGTATTTAGGCATTTGAAGGCATTGAAAGCATACACAATTCCATGAATAATCTGCAAAAAAGTATAGCGAGAAATCGTCATGTACACAAAAAGTTAACGCAAGAAGCTATGTCATGTTATTGTAACAGCTGAACTAATATTGTACAGTCAATGCCACATATATCACACTCGCCAAATAAGTACAAATATTTGTGTATGTCGTGGAATTCACTAAAAATGTTTTAAACATTTGTCTTATTTCTGGGGCGCGTTAGGCTGCATAAGTTGGCTTCATACCCCTACTTTCTGATAATGCAAGCACCGCGGCTTGAACGTGCATGTGCAATTTTTTTCTTCAGACATTTTTATTTATTCTAGGGTGGGGGTTATAAAAAGAAAGGTACACGCGACACCATATGGTAAACAACTTCTCAATATCTTGATAACCTTCTGCATGTTTTCATCGGGCGCATGTGTACTGGCTGTTGTAGTATACAGTTCATGGCAGCACTCTGTGGCACTTAAAGACTCCCATCTTTCCACAGCGTACCTAAAGTATTTAGTGACCGAATATTGTCGTACACCTTAGTCCAAATAGTGTTCTCACTAACTCATATACCTATTTTCACGGAGCAACTAAGAAAACAACAACAACAACACCATCATCATCATCATCATCATCATCAGCCTGACTACGTCCACTGCAGGACAAACGCCTCTTCCATTTTCCGCCAGTTAACTCGGTCCTGTGCTTGCTGCTGCCAATTTATACCCGCAAACTTAATCTCATCTGCCCACCTAACCTTCTGTCTCCCCTAAACCTCCCACGGCGTCCCTTAGAGCGCCATATTAAGCCCCACTTTATTTACCTCGTCATGGTAGGCCTTCCTGAAATTGTGCCCAGTACTATCCGCATATCCGTATATGCTGACAATATTTGTTTATGGTCTTCGGCTGTAACTCGTCTGCAAGTACGTGCAAGAGTCCAGCAGGCTGCCACCCTGACATGAGGTATCTCCGCAAACAAGGTCTTTCCGTCTCAACGGAGATATTGGTTGCGTTTACTCGCAGAACCATGACACAATACCCCGTTTTGATCAATGTACAAAATATTCCATACCAGAAGAACCATCGCCTCCTCGGTGTCATTAGAGACAAGGACCTTTCGTGCAGTGCCCGCTGCATTTACCTGAAGAGAAGGCTAACTTTTATCGTCCATATAAGGTGGTTCCTCTGCGGCAAGTTTTAGGGCACATCTATAAGGTCAATGATGCTGCTATACAGTGCATTGTTTCTGGGATTTTTACGCTACAGCTTGCCGTTACTGGCAAGTACATACAAGATGAACATTCGCACTCTCGATGGTCCGTAAGGACAAACAGTACGCGAGTGTTCAGGATTGCCACGCTGCACGGCAACCTACGGGACAATTATGATCGCAAGAGAGCATCCGAAAACATACATCACCACTGGCGATTTAGGAGCCCACATAAGATACCTCTGCCGATTTCCTGGTCACCATGTTGCTGTGTTACCACTTTATAGACCACAAGCGATGTTTTCAAACGTTATATCTGCTCATATAGAATGCCTTCTGCCGGGCTTCACTCCCGCAACAAGACCACCGTCTCCTCCGTGGTGTTTACAACAACCAAAAGTGTACCTCACTATTCCGGGAATCGCGAAAAAGAGCCGTCATTCAACAATGATCCTGCGACAGGTGACGTTGTCGCTATTCAACGAAAAATACGGCTAAAGGACCCACATTTACACCGATGGATCGGTCTCGGCTAACCGCTCCACGGGTGCTATTGTCGGTACATTGTGGCACTGTCGATAACGGCTTTGCTGATGATGTTACCCGATCCGCCCACCAGGACGTACAGACAACCCCAGTACCCTTATCGAGAACAGACGCTGCAGGGTGCCTACACTCGTTCCCTAACACTATGTAGGAAACTTGGCTGAGTGACCCCAGTGTTGGGAACCGCCACCTACATAAATTGAACCCATCTAAAAAGCTTCAAGTTCCGTGAGAACTCTCCCCCAGGATGCAACTTTACTGTGTCACCTGTGGTTAGGAGTAGCTTTCACGAAGGCGTACTTATTTAGCATAGAAATGGTGGATAGCTCCCGATGTGAATCGTGTGACACTGACGAGACATAGAACATCTACTCTGTTCATGCGATCGTTTTGCAAGCGATCGAACGCAAGTTTCTACGCAAACCGTTAGGGGCACTAGATAGTAGACATTTTTTCGAAGAAAAGTTCCTGGGTTCATGACTCTACCCGCTCTACCCGTCGCAGGCCAGCAAAGCGACGCGGGCATTGCTAGGTTTTCTTAAGACGACCGGACTACGCGACCGTTTACAAGCGTGCAATGGACTAGGTCACATGTACCCACACGTTGCCCTTCACTTTTCTCTTTCTTCTCTTTTAATCCCCTCACCCCTTCCCCCATTGCAAGCTGGCTATCCGGACGTGAGTCTGATTGACCTCCCTACCTTTCAATTCTTCTCTTCCTCCTCTTTGCTAATCTCTAGTGATGTAACACATCAAGCGTAAGCCTGGAGTTCATGCACTGAATAGCGCAAAATGTCACTAGACTGCTTCCAGGGACATAGGTCATCATCCTTTCTCTTCGCAAAGTCTAACATGTGTGGCCACCGAGAAAAAACAAGTGTCAGAAATGAGGAACTTAGCAGGTGATTTCACCGTTTGAGAGTTTAAACAATGACATCATAGTGAAATAGACCAGAACAGCTTCGTATGCGGTGCCATTTCTGCGACCGTTGTCTGTGTTTAGAACAGGCGCTGCTAAATTCTGAAATCTAATGCCGACTCTAAACTTGAGCCAAGGTCACAGGCATGAAAAATGCGGCCTGTGGTCAGTCGCCTGCGCTTATCTGCGTATTCTTAAATGGATTGCTGTAGCCTTAATTATCGGCTGCTCAACTCTGTTTCTTCTGCTTCACTCTGGCGTCTTAATTCGGTAGCGAGCAGAGTAGAGGCTAAATTACTGCTATTAAGCTTCGGGGGATAATTTTAGCGTTGCACACAGTAGCGATCGTGAGGCAGCTTTGCTACTGATAGACTCATTTGTTGACTGTTTGGATGAAGCGGGCTCCTGTTTAATGATTCCAATTACCATGTTGTCAAACGTGACGGGTAGTCTTCAGCTACTACTACTCATAATCCATGAAATACTCGAGTTGTATATGATGGCTACATACTATAGTGTAGTACGAAGATTATTAGGAGACCAATTGTTCTCCCTGATTACTGCGAACATGCTCCCCCGAACACCAGGGGAAACTGCAATTTTGCAGAACACCAGGGGAAGCTACAAGACAGCGGCACACCTAGCTTGGCATGAACAGAAATTGCCGTCGCCTTACGAAACCCCGAGTCCACGTTTATTCTCACGCATTTAGAAGAAATCCACCAAACTTTCTGTAAAGGCTACATGGCCGCATTGCGCACCGAGTCCTGACACAGCTATCCGCACCATGTTCAGAGGGAAACTGGAAACAGCTAATATTAGTACCCGGTCACTGCAGAGTTAGAGGCAATGAGATCGCCCGTGCCTCTGCCAGGGAATTACTCTTCAGGACCTCCGATCCGGCATATTGGCATTGGGGGTACGCCACCGCAACGACAGTGGTCACGAAAATGCCCTTCTTAATGCAGGTTTTCGTCCTGTTGTTCGCACCGTTGCTCCGCCTTAGCTTCCTGGGTAACCACCTGTTCCTGGACTATTGCCAAAGCGCGCCCGTCACGATTCAGTCGCTGGCCTGGAATGCCTCTTCACAAGAAACCCCGAGGATGCCGTTTCCGTCGGCCGCTCGCTTCTGCGTCTGGCAACACCGGGCTACTACAAGTGAGGGGCGTCAACATCGCCTACAAATAGCGGCACCAGACTCGAGCGCCTTGGGGCATGCCACCGCAACGACAGTGGTCACGAAAATGCCCTTCTTAATGCAGGTCAGTTACCTTCCAAACGCGGCCTGCGTGCGTTCTGGAAATCACTGTCTTTTTGCGGTGTCGTGCCCCACTTGAGTTATTGGTACATGTAGGTTACTGTGTGAAATGTTGTGGTCTCTTCGTAACAATGCTCAGGCGGTAAATATGCTCCCATTGTTGTCAGGTGACGTCGAACTAAACCCAGGACCTGTTTCACCACCGTCAATGGAAACCATTGCAAATGCAATATCCCGCATAGAAGCATCTCAAACCTCAGTCCTGACAGAACTTTCACTAATCCGAACATCCCAGTCTAGCATTGAGGCGCTCGTGACCACCCTCTCGACTCGTGTTGACACCCTGGAAGAAATTGTGCAGTCGACTCAGTCTAACGAAACAGGTCTAAAGGCAGACGTGAAGGACAGTTTTGCCATACTTTCTGCGGAAATCAGGGTTCTTACAGATAAGTGTGATGATGCTGAAAATCGCCTACGTCGTTCAAACCTGCTTTTTTGTGGTATCCCAGACACAAAAGGCGAGTCTTGGATTCAGTTCCAGGCAAAAGTGATAAAATTTTGCTCTGAAAATCTCGGTATCTCCATACCAAAAGACGACTTGGAGCGTGCACATCGGCTTGGTCGATACCAGCAAAACAAAAGTAGACCTATCATAGTAAAATATGCAAGATTTAAAGATAAATCAAAAATTTTTGCAGTTGCGTCCAAGCTCAAGGGCACGACTTTTTCAATTCGCGAAGACTACTCAGCTAGAGTTCGACAGGCACGAAGGAAACTATATGACCATGGCATGTTGAGCGGCAAACCCTTCAAGCTACGCTTTGACAAGTTACTACTTGAAAACAAGCAATTCTCGTACCATGGAGAATCTGATAGCGTTGTTGAATTGCAGTCGTAGCAGTCATTTCTATATCTCAGGCATGCGCGTCGCCCACTTCCCCCCCAACCTTGCCTCGCCCCTATGAATGGTCCCGTTTGTCAATGTATGGCAGTCTTAATCGCTAATGTGCGTAGTTACCTGCCTAAGAAAGACGCTGTTGAATCCCTTCTGAATGACAACAACACTGACGTTGCAATATTTACGGAATCTTGGCTTCAGCCGCACATTGCTGACCATGCGCTATTACAAGACGGCCAAGCGTACGCTGTTCACCGGCTTGACAGGGCGGGGCGGAGGGGGGGGGCGGAATATTGATTTTTGTTTAAGAAAATGTTTCTTCTTATGTCATTAAAATGAACTGTCAACACGAAATTTTCTGTGTGAACATTTCACTAGCTTCGAAAATGACTGTGATTATTGCTTGTTACCGCGCTCCCAATTGTGATGCCTCCTTCATTTATGAACTAAATACAGTTCTAGTACATCTTTACTCTCGTTTTCCTTTTGCTATTTTCATGCTCTTTGGTTACTTTAATTTTCCAGATATTAACTGGACAAATTTTGAGTCAATTAACCACCAGTCTAAAAATTTTCTTGAAATGACCCTGATGTTTAACCTTACTCAGATGGTTAATACACCAACCCGTGGGGCAAATATCTTAGACCTCGTACTTGTTTCCAACCCTGATACAGTTAAATCGGTATCATCCGTTGAAGGTCTAAGTGACCACAATTTAGTGCTATTTAACCTAAGCATCCCACGTCCCGTACGACAGTGCTCAATAAAACACATCAGGGATTACAACAAAGCCAATTTCACAAAAATAAACTCAGAATTAAGTCAGTTCCTTGATTACTTCCGTCGGTCTGCTTCACTTCGTTCAGTAGACGATAATTGGCTGTTATTTAAGAATAAGTTAACATCGCTTGTAGAGTTACATGTACCCCTTGTACGCATTCGCGGTGACCTGGGAAAACCCTGGTTTTCGAACACACTAAAGAGGTTGTTGGAGAAAAAAAAGCGTCTTTTCCGCGATGCGAAGCAATCGGTAACTTTCTCAAAGTGGGAAAAGTATTTTACGAGTCTGCGTCAATATACTTCTGTTTTGAGGCGATCCAAAAAGAAGTTCTTCCACCATGACTTGCAGACCATTATGCGTGTCAACCCTAAAAAATTCTGGAAAATCCTCACACCTAGTAAAAGCTCCAATAACATTTCTTTGAGTTACCCTGATGGTTCCAATGTGCCAATTGATGAGCGATCAGATGTAATCATACTCGTACTTTTCATCTGTTTTCACTAATGAACCCACGCTAAACGACTTTGATCCACCCAACCTTTCTCTTTCCGATATGCCTCCTATAATCATTACTTCTCAAGGAATCATGAAGCTCATTGAAAAAATGAAGATTTCTAGTGTCCCAGGACATGATGGTATTACAGCCAAAATACTAAAAGGCACGAAAATGTTCTCCAGTTCTATATTAGAAATAATTTTCACGCAGTCGATCACTGGCAGTTCACTTCCGACGGACTGGAAAATTAATAAAGTAGTACCTGTATACAAGTCTGGCAGCCGCTCGGATCCCTCCAACTATCGTCCCATTTCGCTTACAAGCATTGCCTGCAAACTCCTAGAACATGTAATATACTCACAAATAGCATTTCATCTAGGTAATCATTCTTTCTTTTTCCCCAATCAACATGGTTTTCGGCCTAACCTATCATGTGATACTCAGCTCTTTCAATTTGTTACTGAGCTTCACTTAAACTTAGACTCATCCTTTCAAACTGACGTCATTTATCTTGATTTTGCGAAAGCTCTTAACTGTGTCCCCCACCAGTGACTTCTGGCGAAGCTCTCATGCCTACAGCTGGACCCTCTAGTGTTGTCATGGATCCGATGCTTCCTGACCAATCGTCTCCATTACACGGTTGTCGGTAACCACTGTTCAGCCACTACTAACGTGATTTCTGGAGTACCACAGGGATCCGTTCTTGGTCCTCTGCTCTTTCTCATCTTCATAAACGACCTTCCTAATGGCATTTCATCTTCTATTCGACTTTTTGCAGATGACTGCGTTCTTTATCGTCGCATCGCACATCGAACTGACCATGAAATCATTCAAAGCGACTTACATCAAATCGAATCCTGGTGTTCCAATGCATTAATGAAACTCAATATTTCGAAATGTAAAGTTATGCAGATATCCCGTAAGCGCTCCAACAGTAATTACACGTATTCCTTAAACTCGATAGCTTTGTCCCTCGTCGAATCTTATCGTTATCTTGGTGTCACAATAAACAAAAAATTGACATGGTCCGATCATATCACCAAATTAGCAGCCGACACTACTAAATCACTTGGTTACATCAGACGTTCCCTTTCCTTGTGTCCCTCATCTACGCGAAAACTGGCTTATGAAACATTTACACGAAGTAAGCTTGAATATGCCTCAGCTGTTTGGAGCCCTCATCAAGCATACCTCATTCACACTTTAGAATCTATACAGCACCGTGCGGCCAGATTCATCTCTTCTAGGTACGGCCGTGATGAAAGCATCAGTGCCATAAAGTCATCATTGGGACTCGAGTCATTGTCGTTCCGTCGGAAGATTGCAAGGCTGTGCTTGTTCCATAGGCTTTACTATAACTTCCCACATCTTCACGGTAAACTCTTTATCCTGCCAAGCCGTACATCTCGTCGCCTTTTTAACTTGTGCAGCGTCCAGCGTTTGCACGGTTCTACGTCTTCTTTTAATTAATCTTTTTTGCCAACAGCCATTGCAGAATGGAACACTTTGCCAGACTGTGTTGTCGTTGAGCGAAACCCTATTGCGTTTAAGCAGTTGCTCACTGATTATCTTACGCTGTAAAATTCTTTTACACTGTTCTTTCTTTTTGCCTTTATATGCCTGATTCAAATTGTAACATTTTTTGTGCTTTTAAATAAGTCTGCATTTCTATGTGTTATGTTTCAGTATTGTGATCCGATATGTTTTGTAACTCTTTATGTAACCCCCCCCCTTATGTAATACCCCGAGAGCGGCCTTTAAGGGAAAATAAATGATGATGATGATGATAATGATGATATTGCATCCATCCTCAGCTATGCGGGTAGACTCGCTTTTCACGTGTACAAAAATTCTAGAACACCAAAGACTCGAACGACAGAAACTTCCACACCCAGGGCCAAACTTCAGTATGGAATGACAGGTAACGTGGCGTCTCCTACAGGCCCTATCTTGCGCCACTACGTCATCATCATCATCAACCTGTCTACGTCCACTGCAGGACAGTGGCCTCTCTCGTGATCTGCCAGAAAACTCGGTCATGTGCTCCCATCTGCCATGTTATACCCGCAAGTATCCTAATCTCATCTGCCCACTTAACTTTCTGTCTCCCCCTGACCCGCTTGCCTTCTCTGGGAATAATCAGTTATCCTGCCTACGTAATACAGTGCCGAATCATACCTATTTCTTCTTCATTTCAACTATGACATCCTTAACTCCAGTTTGTTCCCTGACCCACCCTGCCCTCTTATCGTATTGTAGTGGGATAGAATAGAGACGTGATACGAGGTCGAAGGCGACCGACGGGGCCGTGCCGATCTCGCCCACTTTATTTCAGGTCTGAAGCGGAGCCGCGGTGGCTGCCGGCGTCCGACACGTCAGGTGCGTGAGGTCATTCTGTTCTGATGCAGGAGCTAGAATCAGCTGCGCTAGGGGTGCGAAGCGGTTGTCAGGAAATGATGATGATTGCACTACGCCCCCCCCCCTCTTTCTAGTGTTTTGCCCGATTTGGAGGTGTATGGGAAAATCACGAGAGCGATAAGTACTATATACATGAACGGTAATCCGTAAGGTGTCTATTGGGAAGTCCAGGTTGTCAATGTGGGTGGGCCATCGGGAAGTAGAGGGTTTCTGGTGGGCGGCTCTGGGAATAGCGCAGTGAACGAGGGCCACGACGAAAGCATGCTTTTGGAAGGAGCAAGCGAAGCAGATAGCGTAGAAATGAGCCGTGGGCCAAAAAGTTCTGCAGTGCTGTGCAACGAAATTTTCACACACACAAGCTTATGCGGTGCTAGCGATTCTTGCGTACACTTTGGCCAATATGTCGGAAAAACAGAGTGGTGCGATGGTATGGCATTTCTAGATCAGCTGGTTTAGCATTATGCCGGGTCAAACGTCGCCGAGACTGGTGGGTGGCGCAGGTGGCATGTCGACTGTGCTGATAACAGCATTGGTGACTGCAGATTACTGGCTGCTGTAGTCATCTTGTCTGCCGTGTATGCAAGTGAGGAGCAAATAATGCGTGGTAGATGGACGTGGCATGACCAATCGTAGTGCGATGCCGAGTAGTTGTTAATGGACTGGAAGGCGCGTCAGCTGTACTCGGAGGTTTATCAGGTGCAGAAAAGTGCATGTGCGGGGTGGCTGGCGAGTCACCTGCTGGCGTGTCCGGTAGGCTATACGTGGTCTGCTTTACCTGTGGCGAGCCAGATGGATGGTCCTCGAGAGTTTGGGTAATAGTTGCAGCATCTCGCACGTTCGACCGTGGTGGATGGTGAGGGCACGAACTTCTTTTGCGGTATACATCAAGGGTGGTGTTCGTGGCTGGTGGCAGGACGCACAGAACACTGAGGTTGATAGAATGTGGCCTCGGGACATTGTCGACGTCGAAGCCTCTAGGATCGCGGGGCAAATAGCGGGCGTCACAATGTCCGTGGTTGTGGTAGACTCCTGGCCGTGCAGTGATGGAGTGATCGTGGATTCGGACATGTCACTGGGGTTGTCGGCCGTGGACGTTGAGCTGGACGTGCGGGTCGCGAGCATGTCTGAAAGATCCTTGGCCGAGGATGTCGAAGAAACACGCCTCACGGCGGACAGGTCACATTCAGCCCGAATGCCGGGAACCTCGGTGGATGGGCAGTCAGGCGCGGGACTTGTGTCACTAGTGGCCAGATGAGAGGTTGATAAGTCTAATTTATCGGATATTGTCGAAGGCGAAAGCTCCG